AGGAGAATGAGGGTTACCGGTGTTTCCAGCCCAACCCGGGCATTGGTACTGCTGCGCTAGGTGCTTGTGAGGCTGCTGCTCTAGGTGCCAGTGCGTCTGCGCTCTCAGGTACTGGTGAGACTGCGCTCTCAGGTACTGCGTCGCCCTCGTCCTCCCTCACTTTCACACTTGACTCAGGGGCTTCTCGCTCCTTCTTTCGAGACCGCACCACTCTCACGCCGCTTGGCCGGCCGGTTGCCGTCTCCCTGGCTGACCCCTCTGGGGGTCCTGTCCTCTCTCACTTCTCCACTGTCCTCCCGTGTCCGGCTGCCCCCTCGGGCACCCTGACCGGTCTGTACCTTCCCTCGTTCTCTACGAACTTGGTGAGTGGTGCGGACCTACAGGATGCGGGGGTTCACCAGTTCACTCCTGCGAGTCAGCGGGTGACCCACTGCACGGACGCACGCACAGGCCGGCACCTGGCCACGTTCTCGCGTAGGCCGGGGTCGAGCCTCTACACCCTAACCACTACGTCTCCTCCTGTCCCTGCGTCTGGTCAGGTAGCTGCGTCAGGTCAGGTGCTTGCTGCTGCGTCCCGGTCAGGTCCTGAGTCTGCCCCCTGTTCTTGTCGCCTCCTGTCTCACGAGACTCTCCTGTGGCACCACCGTCTTGGCCACCCGTCCTTGCCCCGTCTTCGGAGCATGGCTTCCCGTGTCCTTGTCTCTGGTCTTCCCCGGTCTCTCCCTCCCCTTCCCTCCGGGCCAGGACCTTCCTGTGTCCCCTGTGTCGAGGGTCGCCTCCGGGCTTCTCCTCACTCCTCCCAGTTCCCCCCGACATAGGCTCCTCTGCAGACGCTTCACATGGATGTGTGGGGCCCAGCTCCGGTCCGTGAGCAGGGCATGGATGTAGCTCGTACGTCCATGATGCATGCGGCTGCCCCCCATTTTCTGTGGCCGTTTGCGGTGAGGTACGCGGCACATCAGCTCAACCTTCACCCCAGGGTCTCTCGGCCCGCGATGTCCCCAGTCTTACTGTGGACGGGGAAGGTTGGCGATGCGTCGGCGTTCCGTGTCTGGGGATCTCGGGCATTTGTCCGCGACTTGTCTGCGGACAAACTGTCCCCTCGTGCTGCTCCCTGTGTCTTCCTTGGCTTCCCCACTGACGCTCCAGGGTGGCAGTTCTACCACCCCTCCTCTCGTCGTGTTCTGTCCTCCCAGGACGTCACGTTCGACGAGTCAGTCCCCTTCTACCGCCTCTTCCCCTACCGCACTCCTTCCCTTCCCCCGCCGCCGGACTTCCTTGTGCCGGTTCCTCCCCCGGTAGACCCCCTCCCCCCTCAGGTTCCTGCCCCCTCAGGTGTGTCCCAGGTAGACGCCGTTGACCCGGTCGAGGTTACTGGTGACTCTGGTGCTGCTGCGGGTGCTGAGCCTGGGGGTGCTGACTCTGGGGGTGCTGTGCGCGGGGGTGCTGAGCCTTGGGGTGCTGGGCCTGGGGGTGCTACTGCGGAGGGTGCGGAGCCTGGGGGTGCTGAGCCGGGGGGTGCTGTGCCTGGAGGTGCTGGGTCTGGGGGTGCTGGGTCGGGAGCTGCTGAGCCTGGGGGTGCTAAGCTGGGAGCTGCTGAGCCTGGGGGTGCTACGTCTGGAGCTGCTGAGCCTCGGGTTTCTCCTGCTGCTGCGTCTCGCCGGGAGCCCCTCTCTCCACAGGAGCTGCGCGAGTGGTTCGCTCGCCGCTGGAGGCGTGCTGCTGAGTCTGGGGGTGCTGCTGGAGCTGGAGCTTCTTCGACCGTCGAGGGTGCGGGTGCTGGCGGTCCTGGAGCTGCTGGGCCTGCGGGTCCTCCTGGAGCTGGAGCTGCTGAGGGTGTTGGTGCTGAGACTATTGCTATTGGTCCTGCCGCTGGAGGTGTGGGTGGCGCTGGTGCTGTCGCTGAGGGTGCTGGTGCTGTCCCTGCTGAGTCTGGAGCTGCCGCGCGGCCTCGGCCGTACTTCGTTCCGCTCCTGCAGCATGTTCTTGGTCTTTCTCCTCCAGTAGAGGGTCCACAGCCGGTCCTATCGCAGTCACTGTTGGAGCCGTCCTCTCCACTGCCTGCTCCCTCTCCTTACACTGGTCCTACTGGAGGTCTTGCTGAGCGTCGTGAGCCTGCGTCTCGTCCCGCGTCGCCTGTTCGTACTGCTCGCGCTAGTGGTCGCAGTTCGCGTCAGCGTCCTCCTCCTGTCCCTGGCACGCACCGGATGTCTTTCCGTCCGTCCACTGCTCCTCTGCGTGCCCCTTTGCCTTCTCCTCCTGAGTCCTCTCTTCCTGCGTTTGCCGACCCTCAGTCGGACTCCCTTCGTGCTGCTAGTCCCACTGTCACGCGTCTGCTTGCTACTGTCGTCACTGACCCCTCTTTTGAGTCCACTGCTGCGTCTGCTCTTGTCGCTGAGCTCGTCGACTTTGCTGCTCGCTGTCGTCTAGACTACGCTGCTAGTCTTGTTGCTGAGTCTGCGTCTGTCTGTCCTCCGTCCGTCGGGGGTGAGTGTGCTCTTGGCACGGACGTCCTAGAGGACAGGCAGGAGGAGTTACAGTGTCTAGCGGCCGCTTCACCTCATCTCGCGTCTGTACTGCTTGCTCCTGAGGGAGACCCGGATGCACTAGACATCCCGACTCCGCGCTCTTACGCGGAGGCCGTAGAGGGTCCCTACTCCTCTCAGTGGCAGGCAGCTATGGATGCAGAGATGGCTTCCTGGAAGTCCACAGGCACCTACGTTGACGCAGTTCCCCCTCCTGGGGCGAACATCGTCAGTGGCATGTGGATCTTCAGGGTGAAGCGGCCGCCGGGCTCTCCACCTGTCTTCAAGGCGCGGTACGTTGCTCGTGGCTTCAGTCAGCGGCAGGGAGTTGACTACTTTCAGACCTTCTCTCCCACCCCGAAGATGACCACTCTTCGGGTGCTGCTGCACATAGCCGCTCAGCGCGACTACGAGCTTCACTCTCTCGACTTCAGCACTGCGTTCCTGCAGGGTAGCCTGCACGAGGAGATATGGCTGCGCCGTCCGCGTGGCTTCACTGGGACTTTCCCTCCTGGCACCCAGTGGAGCCTCCGACGGCCAATCTACGGTCTCCGCCAGGCACCGCGTGAGTGGCACGACACACTGAGGACTACGCTTGCGGCTCTTGGGTTTGCTCCTTCTACTGCTGACCCGTCGCTGTTTCTTCGCACCGACACTTCCCTGCCGCCGTTCTACATCCTCGTGTACGTCGACGACTTGGTCTTTGCCACAGCGGACACTGCTGGACTCGCCTACGTGAAGTCCGAGCTGCTGAAGAGACACACGTGCACAGACCTGGGTGAACTGCGCAGCTACCTTGGCTTGCAGATCACTCGGGACAGAGCACGCCGCACCATTACCTTGACTCAGTCACACATGGTGCAGCAGGTCCTTCAGCGCTTCGGCTTCACGTACTCCTCGCCTCAGGCCACTCCTCTGTCTACTCGTCACTCGCTCTCAGCTCTGCCTTCGGATGAGTCCGTAGAGTCGAGTGGCCCGTACCCAGAGCTTGTTGGCTGCCTCATGTACCTGATGACCTGCACACGACCTGACCTTGCATACCCTCTGATCATTCTTGCACGCTATGTTGCTCCTGGGAGACACCGACCAGAGCACATGGCTGCAGCAAATAGGGTATTGCGCTACCTGTGCAGTACGTCGGGCATGGGGCTAGTGCTTGGAGGGCGGAGTCCAGTGGTCCTTACAGGCCACGCGGACGCTTCTTGGGCTGACGACCAGGCTACGCAGCGGTCGTCACAGGGTTACACTTTCAGTCTTGGTTCCGGCTCTGTCTCGTGGCGGTCTACTCGTTCGTCTTCGGTTCTCGGCTCCAGTTGTGAGGCTGAGATCTACGCCGGGGCCATGGCTGCACAGGAGCTTCGCTGGCTCACCTACCTGCTGACTGACCTTGGAGAGCCGCCTCGTTCTCCTCCAGTGCTGTACGTAGACAACAAGGCCATGCTGGCCTTGTGTCGAGAGCAGCGCTTGGACCACAGAACGAAGCACATTGCTCTCCGCTACTTCCTTGCTCGTGAGCTGCAGCAGCGTGGTCAGTTGCGACTTGCGTACGTGGCCTCTGAGGCCAACACTGCTGATGTGTTCACCAAGGCACTCGCGCCTTGTGACCATCAGCGCTTTTGCACCCAGCTGGGTCTTGTGCCTGTCTTGCCTCACTTGCTCTCCTCTTGACTTTACTTGTACTGTGACATATATATATACCTGCTCTTGCTTGTCTAGTTTTATATATATGTCTGTACTCCTGCATGTGAACTGGCCTCTGGCCCTGCTCTTGTGCTCGGACTGTGTGGTGACTTTGTGATCCACCCTGAGCTTGCTTTGCTTTGCTTGACTGGTCTTGTGACCCCTTGTTCTCCCCCACTTTGCCTATGGGGGTGTGTCAAACGTTATATATGTTATGCTTGTGTAGGCTACAGTGGGTTAGCCTATAGGGGGTACACAATTCTAGAGTTTACTATTTGTACTCATTTCACTGCTAGTTCATTCATCCTTGTTCACTTCCTTCACACAAACTTTCGCTGCAACTACTCCGCGATCAACCCTGAGCGATCCTTCGCTAAGTCCCACTTGGGATTGTAACAAATATGAAAATTTACTGCTGTAAAGCAAGTTAGAATGTTAATTATATTTAGTTAAAATGGAATAAGCTTCAAAATTCCATTTTTTGCTGATTTCAGCAGATATGCTGTTTTTTTTTTACTCAGTGATTCTTCTGTGTATTAACAGAGAACTATTTGGATTTGAAATGTTTTTCTGTGTTTATAATAGATATTTATTTACATCCATCTTACTGTATTGCGCTTACAATTTACTATAGTGGGAAGCAGTGCACTTTTTTTCCTTTCACACCTGTCTGCTCGAATTCGACTTTCGTCTCCTTGGTTGTTGGTTCTTGGTTCTTGCTTCTTGCTTCTTGGTTCTTGCTACTTGGTTCTCCCTCCAAATCCGCCCATTCCCGCCCAATCCTGCAGTCGCGCCTTACCTACCGTCTAGCTGTCCCTTACTCCTTTCCGTCCCTCTCCCTCTCACCCCGCCGTCGCGCTCTCTCCCACCCCGCCATCGCGTCGCTCTCCCTCCTAGCCGCCGTCGCCGCTCCCTCCCATCCCGCCATCGCCCCTCCCTCCTTTCCAGCCGCCGTCGCTGCTCCCTCCCATCCCGCCGCCGCCTCTCCCTCCTCCCGCCGCCGCCTCTCCCTCCTCCCGCCGCCGCCCCTCCCTCCTCCCCGCCGTCGCCTCTCCCTCCTCCCCGCCATCGCCTCTCCCTCCTCTCCGCCGTCGCCTCTCCCTCCTCTCCGCCGTCCCCTCTCCCTCCTCTCCGCCGTCGCCTCTCCCTCCTCTCCGCCGTCGCCTCTCCCTCCTCCCCGCCGTCGCCTCTCCTTCTCTCCCTGCCGTCGCCTCTCCTTCCCGTCGCCTCTCCTTCCCTCCCTGCCGTCGCCTCTCCTTCCCTCCCCGCCATCGCCTCTCCTTCCCTCCCCGCCGTCGCCTCTCCTTCCCTCCCCCCCGTCGCCTCTCCTTCCCTCCCCGCCATCGCCTCCAGCGACGGGTGCACGAGCGCAAGCGCGGGTTGGTGCGCGGAGCGCGGGTAGGTGCGCCAGCGCGGGTTGTTTTCTGAGGCACCGTGGTTATCAGGTGCGTTCCCGGTCCTTTCATCCTCCTTCACCCTCTGAATTTCTCTTTGTTTTTTGCCCTGTGTCAGTTGGTCTCCTCTTGCATTGCACTTTCATCTGACAAAGGGGAGAGACCAAGCGCGAGAGAGAGCGTGTGCACGGGAGCGAACGCGCAGGAGAGAGCGAAGGAGAGAGCGCAGGAGAGAGCGCGCGAGAGAGCGTGCGAGAGAACGCGTGAGAGGGGGCGTGAGAGAGCGCGTGAGGGAGCGCGTGAGGGTGCGCATGAGAGAGCGCATGAGAGCGCGTGAGGGTGCGCATTAGAGAGCGTGTGAGAGAGCGCAGGAGAGGGCGTGAGGGAGCGCGCGAGAGAACGCGTGAGAGAGAGCATGAGAGAGCGCGTTGGGGTGCGCATGAGAGAGCGCATGAGAGCGCGTGAGGGTGCGCATTAGAGAGCGTGCGAGAGAGCGCGTGAGAGAGAGCGTGAGAGAGCGCGTGAGGTTGCGTATGAGAGAGCATGTGAGAGAGCGCGTGTGAGAGCGTGAGAGGGCGCGTGAGAGAGAGCATGAGAAAGCGCGTGAGAGAGCGCGTGAGATTGCGTATGAGAGAGCATGTGAGAGAGCGCGTGTGAGAGCGTGAGTGAGCTCGTGAGAGAGTGCGTGAGGGTGTGCGTGAGATGCGCGTGAGTGAGCGTGTGAGAGAAGCGCGTGAGAGAGCGCACGAGAGAGCGCGTGTTAGAGCGTGAGAGTGCTAGTGAGAGTGTGCGTGAGAGACGCGCGTGAGAGAGCGCGTGAGTGAGTGCGTGAGAGAGAGAGAATGCGCGTGAGAGTGCACGAGAGAGAATGCGCGTGAGGGTGTGCCTGAGAGTGCGTGTGAGAGCGCGTGAGAGAGCGCGTGAGTGTGCGCGTGAGAGAGCGCGTGAGAAAGCGCATAAGGGTGCGCGTGAGGGTGCGCGTGAGAGAGCGCATGAGAGAGCGTGTGAGGGAGAGCGTGAGAGTGCGCGTGAGAGTGTGCATGAGAGAGCGCGTGCGAGAGCGCGTGAGTGAGCGAGTGGAAAAGCACGTGAGAGAGAGAATGCGCGTGAGAGTGCGCAAGAGAGAGCGTGTGAGAGTGTGCCTGAGAGTGCATGTGAGAGCGCGTGAGAGAGCGTAAAAGAGCGCGTGAGAGAGCGTGAAAGAGCGCGTAAGAGAGCGCGTGAGAGAGTGCGTGAGAGAGCGCGTGAAAGAGCGCATGAGAGAGCTCGTGAAAGAGCGAATGAGCATGCTGGGGCATAGGAACTAGCATCTATTCTGCTGGTGCTTGGGCAACTGGGGCTACTTATACAAATGAGTGTCGATTATTGCACTAGCGCTTAGAGTGCCGGCTAAGGTGTCGACGCCTCAGACGCTCGTCTAGGCCGCTGGCAACTAGCGAGCTAGTGCCAAGCACACTCGCTCAGCACACTCTAACGCTTGGGCGCTGGCATGGCACCTAATGTGCCGCGCTTGAAACGCTAGTGTTATGGCCTTTGGCCTTTGGCTTTCTTGTACAGTGTGTGATCACAAACTGTTTTTTTGGGCAAGGTGTGCTGTTGCTTTCTCTGTTTTGGCTTTCTTGTGCAGGGCGTGTAGATGTTTACTTCTCTGTTTTTGCTTTGTGCAGGGCGTATGTGTGTTGACTTCTCTGTTTTTCTTTGTGCAGGGCACATGAGCTGAGAAGGGAGATGAGGGAGGGAGTGGGATGGAGATGAGGGAAGGAGGGAGGGAGGGTTGTAAGGAGGGTAAGGTGGGATAGGCTAGCAGTTATTTATGCATTTCTGAATTTTATTCGTGACGGTTGCGTGTTTATTGCGGTCTCTGTATCTATCTGTGGTTGTTTGCATGTGTGTCTGTGTGTGCGTGTGCTTATGCGTGTGTGTACCTGCGCGTGTGAGCTTGTGTGTGCGATGTGTGGGTTTGTCTGTTTGCACCTGTCTGTCTCGTGTGTGCAACTGACGTGTGATGCTAAAGTGTGTCGGGTCTACATTTGAGGTGAGGATCGTTGTTGGGGCAGCGTTGCTCGCCTTAGCATACCGGAACCATCTCTGTTGTAGCACCGATGCATCTTAGCATCCACTTGCTATTGTTATGTGTTGTTTTTTGCACGTGTTACGCAACTGAGGTGTGATGTTTAAGTGTGTCGGTGCTGCATTTGACGTGGGGATCGTTGTTGGGGCAGCGTTGCTTGCCTTAGCATACCGGAACCATCTCTGTTGTAGCACCGATGCATTTTAGCATTCACTCGCAGTTGTTATGTGCAACTTTTGCTCGTGTTGAATGGATGCACATGATTTGCATTCATGACCAGTGGGTGTTTTTCTCGTCCATTGTGTTTGATGACGACGACCAATTGTTCCATTCGCCGTATTTACCGTCTCCCCCCGGATATAAGCGCCACCCTAGGATAAGCGCCTGGCGCTTCTAATTGGCATATGGCGCTTATATCCCCTCCTCGATTATAAGCGCACCCCTTGAAAAAACTTGTTTTATTATAAGCGCACGTAAACTTTAAAATTTGAAATGTGTTCAAAAAGCTGTAACGATTTTTACTTTAGCAGGCGGATATGTTGCAGAATCGGTTCCCTTCACATTCGGACCCTGCACTGGATGCGGGTCCAGTCAGCAGGACCTGTCAGGAGCTGGATGTGAGTCAGATTGGGTGTATCTCCCAGCGCGCGCGAGAATTTCACAGACGATCCCATGTAACTTCGACTCGATTGAAAAGGCAAGCACGAGACCTACAGTTTGGTGTTAAAAGATATAAAAAAATATGTATGTCATTTTATAAACGCCGGCGCTTATAAATTTACTCGATTATAAGCCCACCCCCATGAAAAAACCTGTTTTATTATTGCCCCCCATGGGGGTATATCCGGGGGGATACGGTATCGACGATTATGGAATGATAGGTCACATTTGGTTACACTTTTTTGGAAACTCATGTGTATCAGTGCTGTCATCTCCACACATTTGGAAGACTCGTTATCAAGACGTTCAAACGAGTGGTTCGGACGTGAAAATGACAAAAACTGCACTGTTCATTTGAGTAGACCAAAAAGTGCTACCAAATGTATAGGGTTGCTACGCAACTAAAAAAACAGTAAATGTGCTGTTTTGTTATCGGGGCGTTTTTACCGCATATCCCATACCAAAACATGGACATTGGGGGCCTCGAAGCGCGGATGAGATCCATGGCGGCCTTGAGAAACGGCATTGTCCAGTTTGACACGATTTTTTGGGCTGCCCAGCAAAAAGTCAACGATTATGCAGTACCCCTGCACATTCCGATGACGTCGCCCTAACCTAGTACCATAAAATCTTCAGACCTTCCAACTCCACTCCACCCTTTCCTCACGCGGCCCATGGCTGTCCAGGTGGCATACGTTCGCAGCAAGGATTGCCAGTGGGCTGAGATGGCGTTCCTGAGATGGGAGAACTTCGGAGTGCTGCACTATTGGTCCAGCGTGGCAGTCCTGGGTATTTTGCACACCCACCACACGTGCCATGCGATGTCAGTCTCATTGTGCGAAAAACAAGTGAGAAAACTTCCAACCAATCACATGCTTCCGTATTCAACGTTCATGCGCCAATTCCAAACGGCCACAATCTCCCATAACCCGATGAAAACAGTCTGGGGGCGATTCCGAGCGTGCTGGGTAGGTTGGTTATGTAGGTTGTAGAGCATGTGCTGTGTGGTGACCGTGAAACGAAATTGCTTTCTGCTGTTGGATTGGCGCCTGTTTTTCCTTTTCCATTTGTCACGGTATTCTTTGACCTTTCTGAACGTGCCAAACCCAGTCACGACTCGGTCCTGTGACAGTCAAAACCGTCAGTGGTTCTGACGTTGGGCGTCAGGGGAAGTTGCCATGCGCAAAAATCGCACGACCCTCACCGCCCAGCTCATGCGACGTCCAGATTCACTCCCCCCGTTGCTGCCATGCCTTAGGCACGTGTTCTGTGCACTGTTGCTAGGGGGAAGTTCGGAAGTTCGCCCATCTCAGGAACGCCATCTGAGTTGTGTATGCACTGCACAGCCGCCGCTATGGATGTTTTCTTCGCGAGAGGCTGTGAAACGATGAAACCTTTTATCTGCTCCACCTGCATGATTATACGTCGTCTGAAATTGCACGTTCCGACATGTGAAGCACACTTCCGCTTGCCGTGCGTAGTCATCCATGATAACCATCGCGCTGCTCCGTGGTCCTCGGTAGCTAGTGGTAGTAGGGTGCAGGCGCAATGAAATATACTGCCTCTGCGCGGGGTGCGATGAGAGTTTCTCGAGAGTTGATGGCGGTGGCGGTGTGGATGGGGCTTGCGAGCGTGCTGGCGGGACTGGTGGCGTGGAGGGTGCAGAAGAGGTTCGACGACAACCGCAAGGCGGCGCTCGACACCTGGTGCGCCGGTCGCGCGCGCTCGCTGCAGCAGCAGTTCATGCAGACTGCCGACCACGTGCAGGTACACACGTGCAGGTACGGCCGACCACGTGCAGGTACACACGTGCAGGTACGGCCGACCACGTGCAGGTACACTTGGTCTTGTTCCCCTCAACCGTCTTCCCCCACCCATCTCCCCTCTCCCATCTTCTCCCCACCTATCTCCACAACCTGTCTTCCCCCCTCCTTTATTTGTTTGTTTGTTTGTTTGTTATTTTTTTCACCCCCAGGACATCTTCTCCCGGCTTAAATTCCCCCACACTTTTCCTCCCACCCATTTTCCCCAACCCTCGCACCCATCTTCACCCATCTCTTCCGCCATCCGTCGTCCATCGATCCACTGCCTCCCAACCCCATGATCCATGCACATGCATGCACCTCTGCTGCCGCGTGCACGCGTCAGGCACTGGCAGGGCTCTTGACAGTGTTTGGCGGGGTGCGGGAGAACCCGTGGGGCGTGGCGGAGTGCATGAGTCAGGAGCGGTACGTGCAGTTTGCACACAAGACTGTGGCCGCGCGGCCGTGGCTGTATGGTATCATCTACCTCGTCCTCCTCAACCACACAGACAGGTTAGCGCTGCCCTGCGCTGCCCTGCGCTGCCCTGCCCTGCCCTGCCCTGCGCTGCCCTGCGCTGCCCTGCCCTGCCCTGCCCTGCGCTGCCCTGCGCTGCCCTGCGCTGCCCTGCGCTGCCCTGCGCTGCCCTGCCCTGCCCTGCCCTGCCCTGCCCTGCCCTGCTCGCTCCCCCATTTTCCAGCCTTGATCCTTTCCGATTCTTGCATCTCTCGCTATCCCCCTCTCTTGCACACACTCACCTCTCTTTTTACTGGGCTTGAACCCTACCCGAAGCCAAGTATGCATGCCATCTGTACGTGATGCCGCCCTTGTGCGCGGTGCGGTGCGGTGCGGTGCTGCAGGGCAGCGTACGAGCGGCAGATGCGGTGCAGAGTGGTGGATGTGATGGAGCAAGCGCGCCCCCCAGAGGACTGGTACATGCCCATGCGCTACTGGGTCAACGACGCCCCCACGGTGCTCGCCACCACGCCCTGCAAGGACGCGCGCGGCCACCCGTCGTTCGACCCACAGCTGCGCGAGATGGTGGCGAGGGCGGACTGGTGGCTCACCACGCCCTTCGTGCTCGATAATGGCAACACTGGCATCGGTGGGTGCTGGGCCTGCCTGGAACACACGTGGATGGGTGGAGCAATGGTAACAGCAGCATGCGTGCGTGGGCAATGGGGGCAGCCCAATATTGGGAGTGGGAGGGCTGTGAATGGCCGTATTGGAGGCAGGAAAAGGTCAATGGAGCCGCATCGCTCATGTTCAAGGTAAATGCAGCAAGGTCTATCAGGCATGTCAGGGGTAGAGATAGATATCCGTGCATGGCTGGGCGTGTTCACCTTGTTCCACGCCATTGCCCTCACGTGTCCCACACGGCCTCCCTCCCGCCCTCCCTCCCTCCCTCCCTCCTTCCCTCCCGCCCTCCCTCCCTCCCTCCCTCCCTCCCTCCCTCCCTCCCTCCCTCCCTCCCTCCCTCCCTCGCTCGCTCCCTCCCTCCCTCCCTCCCTCCCTCCCTCCCTCCCTCCCTCCCTCCCTCCCTCCCTCCCTCCCTCCCTCCCTTCCTCCCTCCCTCTCTCCCTCCCTCCCTTCCTCCCTCCCTCCCTCCCTCCCTCCCTCCCTCCCTCCCTCCCTCCCTCCCTCCCTCCCTCCCTCCCTCCCTCCCTCCCTCCCTCCCTCCCTCCCTCCCTCCCTCCCTTCCTCCCTCCCTCCCTCCTCCCTCCCTCCCTCCCTCCCTCCCTCCCTCCCTCCCTCCCTCCCTCCCTCCCTCCCTCCCTCCCTCCCTCCCTCCCTCCCTCCCTCCCTCCTCCCTCCCTCCCTCCCTTCCTCCCTCCCTCCCTCCCTTCCTCCCTCCCTCCCTCCCTCCCTCCCTCCCTCCCTCCCTCCCTCCCTCCCTCCCTCCCTCCCTCCCTCCCTCCCTTCCTCCCTCCCTCCCTCCCTCCGCGCGTGCACAACGCATGCAGGCATGGGGTTCCCGCTGTTCCGAGGGGGCGTGTCGACGGCGTCGCCACAGGCGGAGCGGCAGCGCGCCATGGTGGGAGCCATGGGGGTGGCGCTGGACTTCAACCGCCTTGCCAGCGCCATCATCCTCGACGTGCTGCAGGGTGCGTCTCGTCTCGTCTCGTCTGCATGCTGGGCTGGCTGGCACAAGCATTTCTGCCAAGTTCTTTTCCATGGGATGGAATTAACTTGCTGCTTTAGCTGGCCATGCTCCCATGCTCCCATGCTGTGACCACCAGTTGTGGACGTCTGTTGTGTGATAGGTATGGATAGATGCACGGATTTTTTTAATCTGTAGATTCAACCAAAGCACATACCTGAGACTGCCCCTGCTCTTGTTGCTTGTCATATTTGCAACAAATTCCTATCTTGCTCGTTGCCAATGGAAGGGCTTTAAGCTTTCTCTGTCTCATGCATTCTGACCTCCCCTTCCCACGCCCCACACCTCCCCTAGACGTGAACTACACACTTGAAATCTATGATGCCACTAACACCTGGTGTGTTTTGAGTGACTCAAAACACACTCTGACCTCCCCTTCCCACGCCCCACACCACACCTCCCCCAGACGTGAACTACACTCTTGAGATCTACGATGTCACCGACACCTTGTCATCGCCCGCGTCAGGCCCGCGCCTGCTATACGGGGTGGGGAAGTTGCCGCAAGGCGACCCCAAGCAGGTGTCCAAGGTCATTCCGCCCTCCACTGAGGCAATGCTGCAGCCACACCGACACAAGGCCGTGCACCCAATCAACCTCACCGACCCCTCTCGCACCTTCCAAGCCTGGTGCCAGTAATCCTCTCCGTTCCCCTCGCCTCGCATACCCCTTATCCTGTCGTCCCCTCCTCTTGTCGCCTCCTTCCGTTTTTCTATCCTCTTATTCCCTCCTCTTGTGCCCCCCCCCTCGTCCTCTCCCCACGTTAGTATGTAATGGTTCACTAGTTGTGTTCCTCAAGGTGACCTTTGAGTCGACTCAAAAGTCACATTAGTATGTACTGGTTCACTTCACTAGTTGTGTGCCTCTCTGCGCTTCTGGCTCCTGTGTGCCAATTTCTCAACTGACGATGTTGGCTGTCCATTTCCCTCACAGGGATGCCAACAAATGTGACAATCCTTGATAGTATGTAGCTACGTGATAGCATGTAGCTACGTGATAGCATGTACCTACGTGATAGTATGTAGCTACGTGATAGTATGTAGCTACGTGATAGTATGTAGCTACGTGATAGTACGTAGCTACGTGATAGTATGTAGCTACGTGATAGCATGTAGCTACGTGATAGTATGTAGCTACGTGATAGTATGTAGCTACGTGATAGTACGTAGCTTCATGATTGTATGTAGCTACGTGATAGCAACTACAAACCTTCTAATTTCCCCACTCTCCTCCTTCTCTCACCCTCTCATTCGCTTGTGTATCTCGTCTCTTCTTTCCCCACCCCCCCCTGAGCTGCCCTCCGCCCCCCCATGGCGTTTCTCTCCATCTCGCCCTCGTCCCGGTGCGCAGCTTTGCAGGGGCAGACGAAGCACACAGCTGGGTGGCAATCGTGCTAGGCACAGTCATAGTGGTGGTGGCGGCGCTGCTGGCAGGCATTGTAGTGACCGTGATGCACAGCACGCGGAGGGCGAGGAGGAAGACGGCGGTGGTGGGGGCCCTGAAGGAGAGCACGCAGTGCAAGGAGCACAACAAGAGCGCCTTCATCGCCAGCACCTCGCACGAGCTGCGCACACCGATCATCGGGCTGAAAGGTGTGCTGAAACGGTAGTAGTGTTGCCTATGCATAGCAGGTAGACATCAAGTGTTGAGGCGCCTCAACACCTCGCACGAGCTGCGCATGCATGCCCATCGTTGGGATGAAGGGTGTGTATGCTCAAGCGGTGGTGGTGTTGCATGTGGATAGCAGGCGCACATCATGGTCAAGTCAACGGCTCCCGATGTGCTGTCCAGGGGGGCTGGGTAAGGCTGCGCAAGGCTGGGTAATAACCCCTTCGCCATCAACTTCCCCAATCTTCTCCATTATGCCGCCCCCTATCCACGGGGAAGTTGGTGGCGAAGAGACCAACACTTGGACGGGTCGAACCCAAACCCCCTCTTGCAACCGCCCGCCCGCCCGCGTTTCGGGGCAAATTGTGGGCGGCCCCAAATGTGTAGTATAGGGCCAGGCCAGGCCAAGGGTTTAAAAAAGGGTTCGACCCCAGGCCGGGGCCGGTTTGGGTTGGATTGGAACCAACTGTGTGGCCGGCCCGACCTGGTTGGACTTTGTGTCGAGTCGAGGTAAGTCGAGGCGATGTCGCCCGCAGCCCTACTCGACACTCGAATTTCAGAGTTCAGGCGACCATGGCTCGAGTCTGCGTTGCGTGGAAAAGAGAAATGGAGGAAATTCAGAAATCGCGCATTCCCTAGTGAAAAAAGCACGCTGGAGATGGCATTGGGGGGGGGGAGGGAGGAGGGGGATGGACGGATATGCGTATGGCGTGGTGTGGGCAGGCGTTATGAGTTCTCGCTATTCATATGAGCTGCATCACCATGCAACGCCCGCAATGCCAGCGAGTGGGAACTGTGAAACGCGTCTTGACTCTGCTGGCTGGCTGGTTGAAAATGACACATTTTGGAGTCAATGCGTGGTGCGGGGAAACCAACACCAAAGTGTAGGTAATCAAGCGTCCTTTTTGTTTTGCGAGCCACGTGCACATCTGGCCAAGTGGAGGTGCCATGAATCCATGTTTGAGGCGTTTCCACTGGCACCTGTGACGGCAAGCCCTGCCCTGCCACTAAGAAGCAAAACATCAACCAACGTGCGTGGATGTTTCTGCTTGCTGTTTCCTGCTCCGTGCTTGGCGCTTGCTTCTTGGTGCTTGCTTGGTGCCTGCTGTGCGGTGCAGGCATGGTGGAGCAGCTGGTGGAGGGACAGATGGAGGCGGAGATGAGGGAGGACATGCGGACGGCAGTGGAGGAGGCAGAGAGGGTGCTGCTGCTGGTGAACACGGTGCTAGACATATCCAAGGTGGAGGCGGGGCGCATGCAGCTGGAGCGACTGCCGTTTGACACCCGGCACTGGCTGCTGGGCGCTCTGCAGAAGCACGGCGCCAGAGCTGCTCAAGCCGGGCTGCACTGTGAGTGTGAGGAGGCGGCCCACGGGGTCAGGTGCGGTGCGTGCCCGTGGAATGGGTGCATGCATTCATGCACGGCACGTGCACCAAGGCATGCATAGCAACGCACACACCTGACCTCCATGTCCTGCTATCCCCACTTACTACCTCCCATCCCACCCACGTGCCCACCTCGTGTTCTGTGCCTGTATCTGCTGCTGTGCATCACGTGCAGTCACATGGCATGTGGATTCGAGCGTGCCGGGTGTGCTGGAGGGGGACTACATGCGCCTGCAGCAAGTGATGGACAGCATCGTTGGTGAGCCGCCCCGGCCCGCCACGGCTGAGGCTTGCTGCTTATTGCCTGAGTTGCGTGGTGATAGTTTCAGAAACCAGCTAGGCGGGGTGAGGATGCAGCAAGGGGTGGACAGGGCAGCAGCGTTGGTTGGTCCGCGCCGCGCGCTGCCGCCTATTACTTGAATGACGTGCATGCTGCAGACGGGGACAAAAGGATTTCGCACCTTTCATGCCTTTCATGTGCCCAGCCACCGTCTCGCCCCCAGTTCTGTTCTGTCCTCTCGTCCCTCTGCCTGCTGCTGCTCCCCCAGACAACGCCATCAAGTTCACGGCCAGCGGGGGCGTGTGTGTGCGGCTGCAGTGCCTTCCCCCCGACACCCACATCCCCACCCACCTGCTCTCCCTCGGCTGTCTCCTCGCTGAAGCCACTCCCAGCCACTCCTCGCCTGCCACTGCTGCTCCCGTTGCTGCTGATGCTGCTACAGCTGCTGCTGCTACTGCCATTGCTAACACTGCCGCAACCACCACTCCTGTGGTTGCGCCGTGTAATGGTGCAGAGGGGGCGTTTGTGGTGCCTTGCTTTGGGCTGCACAAGTGGCAGGGGCGGCTTGCGTGGGCAGCAGCAGTGAGGCAATGCTGTGAGCGCACGGAGGAGTGGGTGGGGCAGCAAGAGGGTGCAGTGGCGCAGCGGTGGTGCTGGCATGGCAATCCGGGGGGAGAGAGGCATGGCAGGGAGGGCAGGGACGGCGCAGGTGCGGATGCCATGGCTGCTGCTGAGGCTGGGTGCGGGGCAGGCAGGGCGGCAGTGGTGCGCGTTGGGGAGGGCGGTGGTGTGGAGGGCAGTGGGGTGGGCGCATGGGTGGGTGCTGTGAGGCGGTGGTGCGGCCGTTGTGCCGTGTGGAGCTGCAAGGGGGCTGAGCCTGAGAGGCATCAAGGGCGGTGTGTGGTGCTGCTGACGTGTGAGGACACGGGGTGTGGCATTGCACAGGAGGAGCAGCGCGACGTGTTTCACGCATTCATGCAGGTGAGCCCTGCCCCTCGTGCAGGTGAGCCCTGCCCCTTGTGCAGGTGAGCCCTGCCCCTTGTGCAGGTGAGCCCTGCCCCTTGTGCAGGTGAGCTCGGAGTATGAGTGGTGGGGCACTAAGACTTGTGACGTTAATCTGTGTGTATGTCAGCCAGCAGGCGTGTCTACATGTCTGTATGCGTCACTTGGCGCTGCGCTGGTAACGTGACTCATGTCTCTTGTTTTTAGTGTGGTGTGGTGTGGACTACTTCAACTCAACCATGCTGCCAAAGGTTGGCTCTTTTCCAGCGACAATCTCAGAGCCCACCCCACAGAGCTGCCCGTGTGCCCACCTCACTGGATCTCACTGAACCTCACAGAGCTGCCCATGTGCCATTCCATCCCAACGCACCCACCACCAGGCGCATCACAAAAGGCATTTGCACGGGGGTAGCGGCTTGAGCCTTCACATATCGAAACAACTGGTGCGTGCCTTGGCTTGGGTTACATGCTGTTGGCGTCTCCAAAGGACGAGGAAAGCAATCACTGGAAGTGTGTGATAGTGAAGCACAGTACAAGTGGAAGGCATTTGAGGAGATGCAAGAGCGTGGTTATCCCGAGCTCCTTGCGTGGATTCATTTGCCAAGTGTGGATTCATTTGCCAAGTGTCTTTGTTAAGTGTGGATTCATTTGCCAAGTGTGGATTCATTTGCCAAGTGTGGATTCATTTGCCGAGTGTGGATTCATATTTGCCAAGTGTGGATTCATTTGCAAGTGTGGATTCATTCGCCAAGTGTGGATTCTTTGTTAAGTGTGGACTCATTTGCAAGTGTGGATTCATTCGCCAAGTGGGGATTCTTTGTTAAGTGTGGATTCTTTGTTAAGTGTGGATTCATTTGCCAAGTGTGGATTCTTTGTTAATTGGTTAGCAGATTGTACCTCCCATTTCTCAACCTCCCACCTCTCAACCTCCCACCTCTCAACCTTCCCATTTCTCAACCTCCCATTTCTCAACCGCCTGCCTGTCAACCGCCTGTCTCCCATGTCACGGCGTGCAGGTGTCACTGATGGGCGGCAGTATGGGGCTGCTCAGCACACAGGGCCGTGGCACCACGCTGCATGTTGCTCTGCCCCTCACTGCTGCACCTGCACTTGCACCTGCACCTGCACATGCACCTTCCAGTGCTGCTGCCGCTGCTGCTGCTCCTGACCGTGCTGCCAACCTGAGCACAGGAGCTCCCACTGCTACCACTGCTGGTCCCGTCATAACCAGCAGCACCAGGAGGGTGGTGGACGGGCGCGGGCAGGTGGCAGTAGAGGGGAGCAGTGAAGGGGCGGAGCACATAGAGAGTGGGAGGGAGGTGCGGCGCGCAGGTGGGGAGGGTGGTGAACTCACAGGGCACACACAGGCGATAGCAGCGCAGGGAAGGGGGGAGGTGCAGGGGGGTGAGGTGGGAGCGACGTGGGTGAGCGGCACGACGCAGAGTGCCAAGGAGGCACTTAAGGAGATGCTACAGGGCATGGCAATCCTGGTGAGATGCTACAGGGAATGGCAATCCCCTCGCCTCCCGTGCCTGTGCGCACCATCTCCAACCATCTCCTGGACGACAACGCTATCTCTTCTCTCTCAACCTCTCTCTCTCCAATACCCCCTCTCCGCTGCCCCCTCTCCGCTACCCCGTCTCCGCTGCCCCGTCTCCGCTGCCCCGTCTCCGCTGCCCCGTCTCCGCTGCCCCGTCTCCGCTGCCCCGTCTCCGCTACCCCCTCTCCGCTACCCCCTCTCCCTGCCCTGTGGTGGTGGACGGCAGGTGGTGGACGGCAATCTGATCAACCGTCCTGCCTGCCGGCATGCCCCCCGCCCTGTGACCCCCTGTAACCCCGCCCTGTGACCCCCTGTAACCCCGCCCTGTGACCCCCTGTAACCCCGCCCTGTGACCCCTCATGCTGCCCAGGTGGTGGACGACAACGCAATCAACCGTCCTGCCTGCCTGCCTACCTGCATCTCCGTCCCACCGTTCTCATCCCCTCTGCACCACCCGGGCATGTCTCTCTCTCTGCCCACCAGGTGGTGGACGACAGCGTGATCAACCGGCGGGTGGCAGCGAGCACGCTGGCGAGGTACGGGGCAGAAGTGGCGCCTTGTAACCCCGTGTACCTCCCAACCCCCCCAACCCTCTCCACCCACCAGGTGGTGGACGACAATCTAATCAACCGGCGGGTGGCTGCGAGCACACTCACACGGTACGGCGCGGAGGTGGCGCTGGCGGAGTCGGGCGAGGCGGCGCTGCGCCTGCTGCAGGCGCGCCACTCCTTCTGCCTCGTGCTCATGGACCTCCACATGCCGGGCCTGGACGGGTGCGTGCTCGTGTGCTCATGGACCTCCACATGCTGGGCCTGGACGGGTGCGTGCTCATGTGCTCATGGACCTCCACATGCCGGGCCTGGACGGGTGCGTGCTCGTGTGCTCATGGACCTCCGCATGCCTGCCCTCGATGGGAGCGTGCGTTCATAACTGCCTCTGTGCATCTGTGCCTGTGTGCCTGTCTGCCCTTCGGCCTGTGTGCCTGTGTGCCTGTCTGCCCGCCTGCCTGTCTGCCTGTGTGCTTGTTGCCGGCCATCTCGCTTTCCTCTTCACCCATTCACACTCTTTCGCCCACCTCCCCCATTCCTCCCTCCTTGGCATGCTGCACGTATGTCACGCACCAAGCAGGTACGAGACGGTCACTCGGCTGCGTCGCCTGGAGCGGGAGTCGTGGGGCGGGGAGGCAGGGGGTCAGCGGTGTGTGAGGGTGGTGGCCATGTCAGCAGACGTGGACAGCACTGTTGCTGCACGAGCTGCTCTGGTGGGAATGGATGGGGCCGTGCAGAAACCACTCAATGAGAACCAACTCTTGGCTGTCATGAGAACACTTCGAATGTAATGTAATGCAATGCAACTCTCCCTAAATGAGCTAATCATGAACATACAACAAGATTTCAACCACTATAATCCCCTAGATGCATCACCACGACCATCTATGGTTATGTTGAGGGGTGTAAGGAATTTTCTCGCTATTCCTTAGCGCGCCTTGCAACATCGCGTACTGCAGCAGCTGTTGTTCGCCCATAACTGCTAACGGGGCTTCGCCAACTTCGCGCCAGGGCTGACGCTATCAGAGTAAATAGTCTGATTAGTCTGACGGATCAGACCATCGAGTTTGTGAAAAATGGAATTCCAGAGTAGTCAAATTTTCATCACTGAGAGCCTCAGAGTTATTGTTTTATGGCCCCTGATTCAGTGTAATAGGCCTCAGTGTTAGTCATTTCTGGAGTCTGTCACTACAGAGTATGCGTTCTGTGGTCCCTGCATGCAAGTTTATCGGGAGGAAGCTTCCTCGAAATTTCCTTTCGATACACCCACCTCCGAGGTTCACTAGTGAGGGTCAAACTGGTGAGTCAAACCCGTCTTGACTGGTCACAGCACCAGCGTCATTAAAAATTCGTGTTGACAAAGCGAATTCGCGCCGTACGGAGCAACGAATTTGCCCAATCACAACGAAATGGCCCTGACACAGCAGATTTGAGCTGTCAGAGCACAAAGGTCTTGGTAAAATGTATCTGACATTGCACATTCGCCCTTTCACAGAACAGATTCGCCATCAAAGTTCAGTTTCGATAATGCACAGCGCGTTACTACACGTACCCTGATCGTGACTTCTCGACCCTGAACACTGAGACTGTATAACTTCCCAACACTGAGCAATCAGGGTGTTGCTTTTCTGGAAAATATGCCTTCAGGGTTATTATTATTTTTTTTTTTTTTGTGGACATCAGGGTACCTAAATTTGAAACGTCAGCCCTGCTTCGCGCGCACTGTTTCACCAAACCTCGCGCAGCTGGCCTGGCCGTGTCGGCCTACGCTTCGGGACTAGCCCGAACCTCGCTGCCAGCATAGCACTAGCTAGCTCGCACGCCCCGCGTTACCGTTTGCATGTTTCGCGTATAAATGTTCGCTCATGCCTTCGCTCACATTTTGTACTCGTTTGAGACCTCAGTGCAATTCTCGCTACTTCGATTCATTGCACCCGTAACACTTGGTATTCAGAGCCTCTTTCCTTTTCGGACCGCGCATCTCCGCACCCCAGGAAATCAGCTTTTGATTTTTTCACTCGAAGGGACTCACGCACCTTAGCCACTAGGAGCCGCTGTCCTCGCGTTCTCTCGTAAACGCGTGCAGCCACGACTGCGCCTAGACTAAGACGAGCCGACGCCCTTCGGAATGGCCGAACGCATTGACGTCACCACCCTCACGCAGGACCGCCAGGACGAGCTGCTGCGACAACTGCACGAAAGCTCTGAAGAAATCGCGGCATTAACGGCGGAACGCACCTCCCTGCAAAATGACCTCGCACAAACACAACCCCAAGCGCCTAGCACTCCGATACAGCCCGCACCACAGACATCGCAACACGGAAGTGTGGGGCAACCCGCGAGCGCGGCCAGTGATGGCGTCGTCTGCCATGACGGAGACGACGACCACGGCACGACACACCCCGGCGCGACGAATGCAGCCAGAAGTCAGCCTCGAGTCACAATTTCTGTGCCGGCCGGCGAATTGGCTCTACCGTCGCTGATGCCGCTGAAGCAGCAGCGTCCGCCGTGTTTTGACCCGAGTCAACGGGGTGGTCCTACCGTTCAAGCGTGGCCCTTCACGTTGAATGTCTTCTTCGACGCGAACTACGTCTCGGAGGATACGGCGAAGATTCGCTACGCCGTGTCATTGCTGCGAGGACCCGCCATAGAGTGGTGGTGTGTATCGTCACGAAGCCGATGGACTATGCGACCCTATCGACACGGGAAGGATAAACCGGACCCTGGGCGCAGTCGTATTTCGTGGAGGTGCCCCAATATCGCACGTGGGACGCGTGGTGCGCAGGTCTGCGCGCTCGCTTCGAGCCAATCGCGGCTTCGATCGCGGCGCGACAGAAGCTCCGCACTTGGCGCCAACTCGGTTCCGTCCAAGACTACACAAGCGGGTTTCTGGCGCTATGCAAGCAAGTGGGTTATATGCACGAGAGCGAGCGCATCGACCGCTACATCGGCGGCATGAAGCAGGACATCGCTCAGGAAATCCAGCTTCGCGGCGTCCCCGACCTTCAGGAGATTCTCGCCATGGCGGAGAAGCTCGATTTCTTTCGCCGACCGAGACCGGGGTCCTACGGAAACAGCAATTGGGGACATCAGCCTCGTGGGACGAACGAGGGCGCTACGATACGTGACGTCGCCGCAAATGCCGCTGCCGCACCATTCAAAGGGCGCTGATTGGCATGCAATTGGCCGGGACACCGTAAGAGCGAATGCCCGGAAAACGCTAAGGGAAAGGGGGAAGCTGAGCAGCAGAAACAGACCAAGCAGCAGGGAAACGCTGGGAGTCAGTAGCAGACGGGCCCTCTACTGATAGGTCACGCCGCTCGCCCGACCCAACCGACCCTCACCGAGTGATTGTGCCGGTTCACACAATCGACCACACCCGGCCGAATAAGGAGGGTACTACGGTAGATAGCCCCATACTGCTTAGTGGGAAAATCGGGACGGACTTAGTAAAAATCTTCGTAGACGGAGGGGCCAGCCACAACCTTATCAACACCGCCACACCACGAAAACTGCGACTGCCACTGGACAGATGTTTACCTGAGATCGACGTAAGACTGGTCGACGGCACGCCACTGGCGATACGGGAACGTGTGGACCGAGTTTGGATTCGATGCGAGGGTAACTTCACGTTTAGCAAGGAAATGCTCGCAACAACCCTCGACGGAACCGACATTTTGCTCGGCCGTGATTGTCTGCGACGACACAATCTGCGAATCGGCTGGACGACGGGTGACTGCACTGTGCGAGTGAATGGTAACAACATCGCCTTACCTCACTGGGGCTCGTCTGAGTCTTCGTCGGTGTGTGTCAACGCGATCACAATGAAACGCGCCGTAGCGGCAGGAGCTGACATGCATGCGGTTGACATTCGGGAAGCCGAGGCAGCAGACGAAGGAGGGGATTTACAGAAACTGCTGGCCGACGTTCCGGGTGATCTGGTAGCACTATTGAAGCAGTACAGTGACATTTTCCCGGATGATCTACCGACGGGACTGCCACCTCAGCGACCGCACGACCACAAGATAGAACTAGAACCGGGGGCACAACCAACAGTACAGTGACAGTTCAGACTGACCCAACCCGAAGTGGACGAACTGAGGAAGCAGCTGGATTACCTGCTCGAGAAAGAGTTTATTCGCCCTAGTTCGTCGCCCTTTGGAGCACCGATACTGTTCACGCCGAAAAAAGACGGGGGGTTTCGCATGTGCATAGACTAAACAGGGCACTGAACAGGGTTACCATAAAATCCCGTTACCCCATCACGTGAGCCAAAGAACTGATTGACCAATTGAGCACAGCCTGAGTTTTCTCAAAAATTGACCTTCGGGGAGGCTCCCACCAGATTCGCGTCAACCAACCTGACTGCCCTAAGACAGCCTTCCGAACACGCTACGGATCCTTCGAATACACCGTCATGCCCTTCGGACTGACTAACGCCCCCGCCACCTTTCAAATGACAATGAACGAAGCCTTCCGCCTGCTTTTAGATAAGTGCGTCATTGTATACCTTGACGACATACTGATTTACAGCCCCGACAGAGCACAACACTTCAGGACATCGAAGCAGTTTTTAAGATACTGAGTGAAAACCGCCTACTGACAAAAGCGTCTAAGTGTGAGTTTCTACAGGACCGACTGGAGTTTTTGGGACACATCATTTCAGTTGAAGGAGTGGAGATAGACCCGAAAAAGATCGCAACGATTCAAGCATGGCACGCGCCGACTAACTTGACCGAGTTCCAGAGTTTTCTGGGGTTCGTCAACTACGTGCGTTGGGTCGTCCCCAACATGGCGAAGCTGACTGCCCCGTTGACCGACCTGCTGAGGAAGGGGGTTGAGTACATGTGGGGGGAGAAAGAGCATGCTGCCTTCTCGGCCCTCAAAAATATTTTGTTCTCACCGGCCGTACTTCACATCGCCGATCCGCACCGTCCGTTCGAGCTCGTCACCGACACTAGCGACATCGCTGTGGGAGCAGTGTTGTTGCAGGACTTCGGGAACGGCCTCCAGCCAATCGCGTACGAGTCCTGCAAGCTTCACCCGCCCGAACGCAACTACCCGATACACGACCGCGAGATGTTGGCGATCGTGCACGCGTTCAAGGTGTGGCGATGTTACCTCACAGGAGCAGACGTGACAGTACGGACAGACCACCGATCTCTACAGTGCCTTCGCGCCCAACCGAATCTCAACCCACGATAGATCCGCTGGTTGGACTATCTTGAATCCAACTTCCACTACACGCTCACGTACAACAAAGGCGCATCCAACATCGCCGACGCACTCACACGCCCCACCGCCCAACTCCACGCCATCCTACTCGCCCAAACCAACCCACTGTTAACAGGCCTATTCACCCACGGATACAGTACCGACCCA